TCTAGACGAATTTCTGCAGCAATTCAGTCGTTTAATGAAATATTGAGCTATCACTAAGCGCATGAGAAGAGCACAGCATCTATACAGCACGTAAAAAAGGGCTCGACTGCTGAAGCAAAAAGGCGAGAATTGTTGCAACAATATGACTATCATTCTTTGAGATGAACAAGGAATCATTTTTATCGATTATCATTGAAGAAAAAATGATTATAAGTACATTTTTCAAGCCGTTATTGGATGGATTAAAATCGTAAAGAATGTATGCCACAATGGAAAGGAAAAAAGCTCTCTCATCTAAAAAATGCAGAGGCTGACGATTTGTAGAAGGACATAGCCAATTTGGCTTTGTATTCTCTGCCAAATTTCCTAAGAGTTTTTGGGGAAAAAACTCTAGATTTGCCTGTTTGCATTAACTGTAAACTCATTCCAGACAAAACAAATTGCTCTAGTTAAGACTTAAGTTTTGGACCGTTGCACTCGTGTAAAAAATGTATATTATTCCTTCTGGATTAAGATTTTTGGTGAAGGTCAATGAATTTGCGAACAAGTAAGAACTTTTGGAAGTTTCACTGTGTTGCACGAACGCTTCACGCTCTTTAGTCCGGATTTTTTTTTTTAACATTTAGAGAGAAAGTTAATTTTCGTCTGTTCGTCTGTAAAAATAATTTTAATCAAATCCATCCTTTTGTGCTCAAGAATGAAGTTGGGAAACTGTGAGCTGCTGGAGTTATGGTGACTCCGTTTCTACAAAAAAATGGTGCGCTTGCACGGTGCAAAACGTGTTCGATGTTACACTCAAGTCCGTGTAAAATGGTATGTTTTTGCCTTCTTTTCCTTGTCCAGCTCACGCATTTCATAGTATTATCGTTTTAAGCAACCATCTGATTTTCAGGGCAACCATCTCCCCTGACAAAGCTTCAAAGGTCAGAACATGTGCCTTTTTTGCCTTACAAGTGTCGTGACATTTGAAGAAACGAACATACAACTTTCTCACTGTTTGCTTGCCTTATTTTACAATCAAACACGAAAAGAGAAAAGGGCAATCACAATGCGAAATTTTTTGGTAGAAACGAAAAAAACCATTAGTAATAACAGCTTAGTGAAGAGTTGGTAATTATGCAAGCGGTTTTCTTTTGCTGCGTGTAGGACTTATTGCAATAAAATCGCCGGATGTGGTGCTATGTCTGCTTACTCGAACCGAGCCATATCAAATTTTGTAAGTGGGACAATCTTTTAAATTATGAATACATAGTAAGCGTACATATATATATGTTTGTAGGTATAGACATTGTAAAATTGATATTTTGAAAAAAATGTATGTATGTATGTTTTTATATATATAAAAATGTCAAATGTTCGCAAAAAGTTACGTGCATATGCGTTTGCTCACTTTGCTGCTGACACCACTTGGCTTTATTTCTGTATCTGCAGTCTGCCACGACCAAACATTGGTGGAGGGGAAAAGGGGGCAATGCAGCAGCAGCAGCTTCAGCACCAAACACTACGAGAAATATTTATATATACATATATAAATATAGCGAAAATTTCAAAGGTTATATACAGGAAATTATGTATAAAACAATTAATTTTATAAGAAAATTATTTATGTACGTAGTTATGCTTTAAGCAAATTTCATTTAAGTAAAGTCAATATAATGAATTTAAAATCAAATAAAAGTTTAATGTAAAAGTGTTTATATACAATATAATAAAAACAAACCTAAAGCGCCGATTATAAATCGAAAACCCCATACGGCACGAGTATACACGCTTCAACAACACACATTCTACAAAACACATGAACTGGAATTGGTGCCTGTCCCGACCTGTAACGATCAACCAACTGACTGACGGCCTGACTGAATGATTGATTGACCGGCTTCTGTTCTTGCGCACTGCCAACAAATCTGACTGCTGCCTTTTCCTCTCTCATTTGCCTACACCTAAACGCGCTGAAAGTATGGTAGACAAAATTGAATAATACATACGATATACATATGTATGCACATAAATACGCATAGATATATTTTATATAATTTTCATATATCTGAAAATTGTATAAATATACAATATTTCGATGTTGGGTGTTGAATAAATCAATGCTTTATTAAAGATATTTATTTTTAAAATTTTCAATCCAAGTCGGACTTGTACGTTGAATTGTGGTTATTTTTGAGTTTCCTTGTTTTTTTTTTTGTTTTTTGTTGACAAAAACAATTACATGTTTTCCTATGTATTTGTAACACTATCCTAAAAGCGATTAAATATTGTTTGCCATTTCATAGTACACTTAAAATTATTAAACTTCTCTTTTATATTTTTCTTTGCGATTTTCTAAACAAAACAAGCGGTTTGTTTTGTCTATATCCTGTTAATAATTTGATTAATATAATATTGAAATATACGTATTTTCTACAGCTTTTTTCGATAAATTTTGTAGGTTAATTTTTCGGTCGTTTTAAAATGTTGCAACATTTTAATTAGACTCTCACGCGAATATTTGTAATTTTTCTAAAACTCTTATATTTGCAAATAATAATAAGAATTATAATCGTAATAATATACAGATAAATGAGCAGTACTAAAATGGGGGGTTCGTAGTCAAAAATTAAGGACACTTTAAAAAAATTTTTATAGACATAATTTTATGATTTTTTTAAAAAAAAAAAGCATATAGTCAAATCAGCATTTAAAATATACATTTTTCAAGTTGCAATACATTTACGTACGTGATGACCATTTGACGGACATTTGCAGAGCAGCTTACCACATTTTTGGGGAAGTCATTTACTGCCTGTTTTGGTACTGTACATACGTTTATTAGGAAGAAGGTTGATTGGTTGGTATGGTAGGTAGGTAGATGGTAAGAGCTACATTAAAACTAGAGAAGTGATTGTTTGCTGTAGACGCTAAGCTGTTTGAGAGAAACTGTGGCACTGGAAATAGATTTATGTATATATGTATATGTATGTATGTATATATATGCAAATAACATTGTATATAGAGATAGACGTAGCATATTTGTTGGAAAAAACGGTTTGGGCACGTGTACACGCCATCTAAATGCGTACCAAAAAGTACATATACATAAACATTTCAGGTAAGTGTATGTAATTATATGCAGGTATATCAAAACTTATGCACGAAATACGTAGTACATAACGAAATATTGGTAAGTATAAATATGTACACAATCATAAATTTATGTATGCATGCGCACACATACGAATGCATGTACGCGTATGTAAATATATTATTTCGGATTTTTAAAAATGTGTACTTGGTATATGGAAAATTGCATATATAAAATTTTGTTTACATATATTTTCAAAGCAAAATTAGCAATGTAATGAATCTTACCATAAAAAAGTGTGAATGTACCACTATTGATTCTATTTGATAGCTTGTAGTAGTCTTGCCCTCTTTGTCTATAATTTCATTTGAAATGTATAATCGAACAGCCGCCCCTGACCACTTGAGCGACCCGCAGTTGGGGACTAACCATAGGTGGCCATTAATGTACTTAAAAAAAAAAAGATATAAGAAAATATTAAAGCTGGCATTTCAATGTTTTCGAAAAATTCAGAAAATTCGATTATCAATTTTGCATTAAAATATTTTGTATGTATGTACATATAAAAAATTATTATGATTAGTATTTGGTAAACGTTTTGCTGGGCATTAAACATTAAGAAAATCACGAAAACACACGCGAGGATTGTAGTTCCACCACCATACAGAGTAGTATACGCGCCGGTGCTTTTTTTATAGGTCTGAGCGTTGGTACAGCGAATCGAGAAAATACTAAAGACTAAAAGAGCCAAAATTTAAGGAAGGATATTTTATCTTTTGCATAAAAAACATTGATGTTTTGAATATTTTTGGAAGGATGGCAGGTCTTGAGTCTCGAATAAACAACACTCAGATTTAGATATAAACCAGTGTGCCCTGTGCCTGTTTATTTGGAAATGGAGGTTTACGTAAGTACGGACTTTCATTTATATCAGGCCAAAGACTAGGAGATCACTCTAGTAATATTTCCCAAAATTTTGGAAAATTGTATGCGGGCACATCGACAGCAAGAACCAGTTGTGGTCTATGCAAGGTATCCCTTAAAATCTTCAAATTCCTGTCCATGAGAAAGGAAATTTTCACTTTTGATTTGCGAGGTTGATGGCCGATATAGTGGGCTCGGCTCTTGGATGAATTAATTGCTTTGCTGAGCTATTCTATAAGGACTCTCAGCTTGAAGCCAAAAACCACCATCTAAATATTGCATGAGAAATATTTCATGCTATAACTTCCAAGTTTGAACTCCTATTAACATTATTAAAATTATTTTTTAAACCGTGATAAAAAAGGTGACAATTGGTGGACATTCTTTACACATTTGGGCATAATATTAAATAGCATGGCAGGGTGATCGCGAAAATGAAACAACTCATAATTATATTTTTACTTAAGTTCCAAATGCAAAACTTTTTTGTCCGGGGTAAGAAAAAAAACAGGACTGAAATTATAATAAAGAAAAGGGTAATTTATAATATTTGTATATGTAAATGCATTTTGGTAGATATCGACAAGTACTAAAAATTAAAAGAATTTAATTAAAATTTTATATCGAAAAAGTAAAACAGAAATTATTCCTGTAGGTGAGAGTCGTTGCCTGTTTGACCAAAATCGCTAAGTAAACTCGCCAAAAATGTGTTGCTGATGTTCGTACATTTTGCTTTTGCCTTCTAGATATTCCATCTTTCTTTTTGTTGCACTTCAACAAATAGCTACAATATAATTTTCACCTTTAATTAGTTCGAAATATGTATAGCAAGAGCATTTAATATTGTATATACGTATACACAATCATGTACACCTGTATGTTTTTTTATACATACATACATATGTAGCATATAGGCATAATAATTGCATTCAAGATTTTTTCTTATAATATATTATATAAATATGGTAATTCGCATGTTTCAATATTTATGGAAATTAACATAGACCATGGACATATTTTATTTGAAACATATGGTAGATAATGACGTATTTGGGCAATTAATAATTAAATTATTATAAAACATTTTTATAAATTGCATTTTTCATTTTCTTTTTCAAGTTCTAATATAATAAACACACAGTTCGTTCATTGAAATATTTATAAAATATTATAGTAGGCATGTACATATAGTCATGTTAAAAATAATAGGGGCACATTTTGTCTTGTTTTGGTTTTTTTTCTTTTGTTTATTTAATGTTAAATATTTTTTATACAAATACAGCTCATTACGTAATATAAATCATAGAAGTCAAATTTTCAAACTTGGTAGAAAAATTTCGCAACATTTTACAACAAACTTTTTATTCCGAATTCGTAGAAAAAAATCAAGTATGCAGTTTTTTTAGTCCTTTAAATTCTAGCTTGATAAAGCGCAAGTTGCAAAAGTTTTGTTAGATAATGTAGTATACGTAAAAAATTAAGCAAACAAAAGAAAAATAGCCAAAACTGGTGAAATTGTCGTGTTCCTGTTATTTTTCACATCACTACATGTACATGACTGTACGTATAGGTAGGTATATAGCATGTAAATTTCATCATCAAACAGTTAATTATTGTTGCATTAAGTCCAGCTTACCACACGCAGCTCAGTTTGTTACGTTTATCTACTTCTGTGTTACCCTCCCGATGCCGTTGGCAATGATCTGAATCATACGTTGCATGGCGGGAAACAACCATCTCTAGGTTTGATTTTTAGGTATTATAGTTGTGAAGTCACATGTATTTCAGCATTTTGGGTCCTTGTCGTATTAAATTGTCGTAAGGATTGCACATTTTGTTGTTTCTTATTGCTGTTGTTATAACGAAGCAAGCAGTTGGAAGAATATGGGAAATCGTACGTTTTAGTTTTTATTTATATATATTATTTCTGTTTCTCTTTGATTTTAAAGTTTAAACCAACATTGCGGGTTTAGTTGTTTAGGCCCACATTTTTTCGAAATTGGCTTATCTACTGTTATGTTAAAGCATACATTTTACAAGTTTAATTAATTGTTTTTCGAAATATATTTGTGGAGAGATTATGATCAGCGTTCATAGTTCACTAAAGCATTAATTAGAGATTTTCCGCATTCCATTAATTTTATGATTATTAAAAGTTTCCGTTTTCAGTTAAACACATCCTACAATTCTTTTTTCTTTTAACATAATTAAGAGTTTTACAACACTTGAAAAACTTTTCGGTTAAGATGCGTTGTACTTTGTTCTATGAATTTTTTGCAATTTACAAAATTTAAGCGAAATAGTGAATACTGCGCTGCGCGTTCAAATTTGGTTGGTCACTTTTGAAATATCCAATTGCATTCATTTATTGAAATTTTCTATACACCGCGTTTTATCGTGAAATATGCACTCAAATCTCATGATCTATAAACGCGTAGTTGGCGTTTCATGTTTTTTTCTTCTTGTTTTAGTGTTGATGTTCCTATAAATTATGCTTACAAGCTAAAAATACATAATAATATATTAAATTTAACCCATCTCGCACACGCCAACACATTTTCACAGATACTGTGAGTGATAAGGAGTAGTAGTAGTAGTGGTAGAAGTAGTAGTAATTGAGACAATTGTGACCTCTGCAAAAAATTTTTCATGTTGGAATATATTTGGTTACATCGGCATATGATATATATGTATGTGCATATATAGTAATTATATGTATATGTATGTATGTAGAAATAATCAGTTAAAAGTATTAAGGAAAATAGTATATGGCGAAAATGCGAAATAAAAATTTGTACACAAATTGTAAATTGGTTGTCAATTGTAATAAGGCGCAATCTACCAAAATAGTAAAGTGTAAAGGAATTATTCAATTTAAATATACACAAATATATATTAATATAGTATATATAGGCATAATTGGGTGAGAAAGTATTAAATGCGAAAACTCATGATGTGGTATAATATAATGGAATTGGTAGTTTCAAATGTTTCAAGTATTGAATTTTTAAAAAAGCATCAAGTTTTATCGAAAAAATGCATATACATAATCGCAAACACAACTCACCCCAATTTGACTGCTTCGTTGTGAACAAATTTTCCAAACGGCTACTTCTGCTACACCTACATACGATCGTCTACTGCTCTGCTACTGCGGCTCACTCTCATACATATAAATTATACTATATAATTCTTAATTTTTGTCACTTTTATTTTGTTTGGGATTGGAGGCGTTTGGACCTGGCGTCATGTTGGGTTGTGGCGCGCCTGGATAACCACCTCCAGGTGCGCCATAGCCCCCATATGCCGCCTGTTGTGGATAGCCGGGTGCAGCACCTCCTGCCGCTTGACTTGCTTGGGCGGCAGCAGCAGCATAATATTGGGAATACTGTGCATATTGACTAGGTGTCATACCTTGTAACGCTGCATTGCTGCCGCCATCAGCGGGATTATTAGCGGCACCGGCGCCACTATTATTTCCACTGCTGCTATTGCTTCCCGCTGGCGCATTGCTATTGCCACCGGCAGCCCCTGCTGCATTCGGCTGTCCACTCTGTCCCTGCTGTAAGTGATGTATAAAATTTGTTATTTAAGATCTGAAATTATAAATGAATGCAAAAAAAGAAGAGACCACAAACCTTCATTTGTTTCTCAATAGCTTCGGCTTCTGCAATCTTTCCTATGCTGCGGTAGTATTCAGCCCATTGGGCACTATAATCAGCCGAACCGCCCCCTTGCCCTTGTTGCTGCTGCTGTTGCGGTTGTGGCTGCTGTTGTTGTTGTGGCGGTTGTGCCTGTTGCTGTTGTGGCACCGCCATTGGTTGGCCAGCATTGGCGCCTATATTTTTTTGAAGCATTTCCTTATAAGCCAAAATTATACCCTTCAAAAACTATAATGTACTCACCAGCTTGCTTTGCCTTCAATTGCTGCTCAATCATTTCTGCTTCGCGCATCATACCCATTGATCTATGGTATAAAAGTAACACAAACAATATAATATTTATAAATGTTTTTGAGGCGAAATGCTTACTTGTAATATTCGATCCATTGAGCTGAGTAGTCTGCCTGCTGTCCACCCCCCGCTGCTGCTGCTACGTTTTGACCCATGGCACCACCACCCATCATCATTTGCTGTTGCTGGCTTTGATCGCCCCATCCCTGGGCATACCCGCCCCATTGCTGTTGGTAAGCTGCTGCCGCGGCGTTTGGATCATTTTGCATTGGATTTTGGCCATATCCCCCACCTTGGTTGTTATGCTGACCGGGAATGTTGCCACTAATGGGCTTACGTGCTATTATGGGCAATTCCATATTTATTTTTTCTGCAATCATTTGGCGCGCAGCTTCTACTTGTTCCGATGTACCCTTGCATTTGAATAACTTTTCAGATGGTGGGTTAACAGCATTACGATCCATTTCACAGTAGGCGCCGGATTGCTGATTTATGAGTTTTATTGTTTCACCGCCGCGCCCAATCACAATCTGTGATGTCAAAAATAAAATGTTTTTTTAAATTATTCAAAGAACAACTAGTAATCTCGCTTACGCCGCATTTTGATGAAGGAACCATAAATGTTATTTCCTCACGTGGTGGTTGCTGTGCGTGATTTACGCCATAGCCGTAACCGTAGTTGGAATTGTTACCCTCCGTATTACCATTACTACTGCTGCTGGCGTTTCGCTGTTGTCGTTGCTGTAGGGACATGCCGTTCAAAAAAAGTGAAAACGGGAACTTTCAGCTGCAAAATGAGACTTACCATCATATTCTCAATGAGTCCGTCGATCATACGTTTGGCGTCATCAACTTGCTGACGCGTACCCTGTATAAGGCATCGTCTATCGCCTGGTTCATCGTTTTTGCCTTGTATGAATTGCAGCTTACAACCGCATTCAGTTTGTATTTTGCGAATCATATCACCACCTTTACCGATTACTACACCAACGGCTATTTTCGGAACAAAAACTTCACACTGTTCTCCGAGGTTACCAAAATTATAGCCTCCACTACTACCACCACCTCCAGTGCCCTGCACACTGCCGCCATTATTGCGTGCAGCGAGAGCTGCTGCCTGCAAATCTTTCTGTGCTATCAAATCTAATACTGATTGCTTGGCGTGTTCGATCTTTTGAGGATCGCCTGATATACGTAAAGGTTTCTACAAAAATAAATACGTAAATAACAACAGTCAACATAATATATTTCTTGACAAAGTTAAATTTACAATTATTTCCTGATTTGGACCATCCTGTATGATGACCATCTTAGCGCCCGTTTTTTCCTGCAACTGCTTGATGGTATCGCCACCTTTTCCAATTACCAAACCTACTTTTGTGCCTGGTATCATTATTTCTTGATATGGAGGAAAACCTGTAGGTCCAGGTGGTGGCATATTAATTGTCAAAACCACTTCAATGTTGCCCCCGCCATTGCGATTAGACAATTGTTGAAAAAGTTCACGCCCTTTAGTCACAGTCTCACGCGAACCACGCAGAGTTACAACGCGATCTATGTATTATGTATATGTATACAAACACCCTTAAAATACCATATATTTAGTCGCTTCCGAAGCCATACCTTGATCTTGTGACAGTTGTACTTTGCAGCCAGATTCTGCCTGTATTTGTGTAATTGTCTCAGTACTGCCACGTCCTAACACAGCATTCACAAGCGGCTCTGGAATGCGTATTTGCTCTTCAACAGTAGTACCGGCGGTAGCCGCCAGACGTTGTGCAACTGCTGCGGCTTGCGCCAGTGCTTGAGAAATATTTCCGGAGCCAGCAATACTGCCGCCGCCGCCACCTACGCTGCTACCATTCGAATTATTGTAGTCATTGCCAGGACTAGTGAATCTTTTCATTTCCGGGCCCGAATCGCTGTCATCATGAGAACGTTTAAAGCCAACGCCAGCTGTTGGTGATGGCCCAGCGTTGGGTACCCCTCCGTTACCTTGTGCAGCGTTCGGTTGTATCTTTGCGGCAATCTAAATATACATGTGTGCGTGTGTGGGTATGTGCGTAAAAACGCAAATGGCTATAGAAATCGATTTTTTAAACATAATACTTTTCTGAAAATTTACCTGCTTAGCACGTTGTAGAGCGGCAGCAAAAGCTTGGGATTGATTTAAGTTGGATTGCGCTCCAGGAAATTCACTCATTTTTTCGAATAAAAAATTTTTCACTGCAACTTCAGAAAAAAAACTCCAACTTCTGCAATTAATTTCAATTGAACAAATTCTGCACAAATCGCAGCACAATTTATTTAGAATATATATTTATCAAACCGCGGAGCTTTGCGGTGCCAGTTTTTCACTACTTTAAAACGATTAATGCAAGATTTTCTGTTATTTCTGCATAAAATTAGCTCAATTTCGTAGACACCACATGAACGCTTCAGAGAAAATTATAAATGGCGGCGGATCATCAAAGAAATCGAACACAAGCGAAAAACGGAAACATGAAATTGAAACACGGATTATAGTGTTACCACAATTTCAAAAAGGTAATTTCAAATTAATGTAGTTTTATTTGTGCACAGTCGTGGCTTTCAATGATATAACTAATTGTTTTCATTAAATTTGCCTTTTTTCAAAACATTTTTTTTTATAGAAAACTTATTAGATAAGGCTAGTGAAAACATTATTTTAAATTAAATAAATTTACTTCTAAAATTCAGCGCGTCCGGCAGCACTAACCACTTCCGCGCCAAAAAATGGTTCGGATGCCGGCATTCCCATAGCGGTAATCACGGAAAACGTGTTACTTATTTATTGAGGTTAGCAAATATAAAATTAAAGTGATGCTGCTTCTTATTTGTACTACTACAATTTGACTATTAATCGCCGTTTTCTCGTAATATTTAAGTTAGGTTTATTTACCTTTGCATGAATTGCTTAAACTTTCTTCTTGTTTGGCGCCATAACCGCCTAGCGGGAGCAAGTAAGCGAATTTGGCAGAGTTCAATAAAGCAAGCCAGTCGTTTCTTTTCTGTGCCAACTGACGCCAATTGGAAACGCCAAGTGAAGCCAAGTACTTCTCCACTTTGTCTTATCATCTCAGTGGGGACCACCCTCTTCCAATGCTACCACCAGCAGGTTCCGAGTTGAACACTTTCATAGCTGGAGCATCGGTGTCCATTCGATCGACATGGCCAAGTCAGGGGAGCCGCTGTATTTTCGCTGCACTATGTAGAAAAGCTCATACAGCTCAACGTTTCATCGTCTGCGGTACGTGCTGTCGCCAATGCGTAACCGCCCGTAAATCTTCCGCAAAATCTTTCTCTCGAATACTGCTTTTTCTCTGTGCTTACGCGCGTTCTTATGGAATTTAGGGACACGAATTTCGATACGATACGATACCATATCGATACTTTTGGCATTCGATACCGATATTTTCTACTCCATAGTTTTAAAACGTTATTTTTTGGAATCGAGTACCAGAACCCTAGTATCGTATCGAATGTAATAAACTCACTGTTCAATATTATTGCATAGTCTTTTACTTTCCTACTAACTTTTGCAGCCCTGTAATGTTGTACTGAACATTGAATTGTTTACCTTTTGCAACCCTGTAATGACATCTGAGAATTGTCAGCCTCATTGCGTAAGTCGTAAATTAGGCTAAATTGTACGACTCGACAACAGTAGCATTGTCTATTGTCGTAATGAAATAAGTAAACGACCAAAATCGTCGAAAACTATACAGTGCTGCCAAGTTTTTGCATTTTAAAACACTAGTCGAGTGGAAATTTTAGGCAATGACGTTGAATTTTCGATACGATTCGACTCTAGAAAAACGACTTGCATTCGACACGACTCTCGCAATGAGAGTGTGTATTTTTTGTAATAAACTCTCTTGAATTCTGAATTTTTAAAGAAAAGACACGCGGTTTTTTCACTTAACCTTAATTTTATACAATGATAATGTTATTTACAATTCTTCCCGATATAAATTGGGCTTTTAAGAGTAGAAATGTGTAATATAGTTAGGATTGCATGTGGTGGAATTTGAACCCGCGACTTCGGTGTTTTAAGACAACACCACAATCTCTACGTGTTGTTATACAATCTAATCTGGCCACAACCACAGTCGTCGCGTAGCCCGGTCGGCGCCAAAATAATGATCTACATAAGAGTACGTGTTAAAATAATTTGACAGCTATGGTCCATAGCTCGTCGTTTTCATTGTGTTCGGGCTATTAATGTTGTGGCACAAAAAGGGTCCGTACAGTTTTATGTCGACTTTGAACAGCGATTTTGTTTTAATGGGAAGCTGTTTTTCATTTTCAAGTTTTGAGCACTTCTTATCATTACACCACAGCGGACTATATACGAGACCTATATTCATATAAATTTTTTGGATTTTGGTATCGATATTTGGAATATCGAGTCTTTTTATTCCGATATTAATGGGTACCCGATATTTTAAAAGCGATACTTTAAATGAGTACCATATAGGTACTTTCTGTTCGATATCGTGTCCCTAATGGAATTTCATGATGCAATAATACAAGGTGTTATCACATGAACGAAAGACACAAGATCACGCCTTAAGGAAAGAAAGAAAAAAGTTATTTTCTAGCTGTTGAAATCTCGACGCCATCTTTGTTGTAAGAAGTAAACAACGAAGAGAACAAAAAAAAACGCGTAATTGTTGAACGCATGAATAATCATTTTTATTATGCAAATTCTTCTACAAATCATGTCGTTGTGTTAAATTATTCTTTACCTTATGTGTGCACACGTTGTCACAAGCGAAAATTAAGAAAATTGCAGTAAAAAGCCACCACCAAATTGTAAACAAGAACAAATGTAAACAAACGGCTTATGTCAAACGCCCTACTTTTTTCATAAGTGCGATTATAACGGGCCACTCTTCTGCTGTCGTGATCTTGTCTTTTTGGTTCATGGTGTTATCAGTTGGCAACTTCTCGCTCTAATTCCGCCATATTGACTACCTTACATGAACGAAAGACACAAGATCACGTAAGAACAAGAGAGTGAAAAAACTCGATTTTTTTTAGCGGGTTCTACGCCATCTTCTTTCACTGGAAAACGAGCGAAAAGTAAACAAAGCAAAGAAAACAACGAAAACCAAAATTAGCCAAATTATTGTCAGCCACTTTAAGCACACAATTTAGGTAAAATGATGCAATAAAATGCTTGAAAATGTGTTGTCATGTTGAATTAACTCTTCTTTACTTAAATAAAAGTGTAAAATAGTGGTGCTTGTGATGTAAACAAACGCTCAGCTGACGAACCCGCTTTCGCAAACTTTTTTCTCAAAACCAGTTACAAATACAACGTCGCGTTCTTACGTGATCTTGTATTTTTGGTTCATGCTACCTTACGTGAAACAGTGTTACTTCTTTCACTATTCTTTGCCCATTAATATAGTTGAATGCTTTTTATTTTTTCTCAGTATACACACTTTGTTTTTTTAAAAAGGTATTTTATCTTATTTTATTTTATTACATAACGAATATACTATAAAAAAGCAAATTTTGTTAAGGAGAAAATGTGAAATTTTATATTTTTCCCCCATATGGGGATTCATTTCTTCCCGTTTTTCTTCTCATTCTACTGAGCTAAGGTAGTGTCAAATCGAGCTGTCACAACTGATACCACCTTGTATTATTGCATCATGATGGAATTTATCCCATAAGAACATGAGTAGACAGCTCAGCTGTCAAAAGCACGCATACCATGAACGAAAGACACAAGATCATGCGGGAAGGAAAGAAAGAAAAAAGTTATTTTCTAGCTGTCGAAATCTCGACGCCATATTTGTTGTAAGAAGTAAACAATGAAGAGAACGAAGAAAACCGCGAAATTGTTGAACGCATGAATAATCATTTTTATTATGCAAAATTCTTCTATAAATCATGCCGTTGTGTTAAATAATTTTTTATCTTATGTATATACACGTTGTCACAGGCGAAAATGAAGAAAATTGCAGTAAAAAGCCACCAAGAAATTGTAAACAACGAAGAAATGTAAACAAACGGCTGATGTCAAAATCACCAAATTTTTTCCTAAATGCGATTCTAACGGGCTACTCTCCTGCACGCATACGCTTGGTTATGGAGTCCCAGCTTAATTTTGTACTTCGCTCGTAAATCCCTCAGTTCAAAATTCCTCTTTATCTCGTTTTTCATATTTTCTTTTGTGTTGTTTTTCACTTTTTTTTTCCAAACCGAATATTTGTAAGCCCGATTGTAAGTGCGGCAGGGACTCATGTTTTTTACATAGTTAATTTGGAAATATATAAATTTTAAATAAACTCACAAAGTTAACAAATATGCCAACTGACTTGATTGGATATTTATATGCTGCTACTGTGGCTGCTGGTGGCATTATAGGCTATGTTAAAGCCGGTAAGTGTGTACTAATTTACACGAGTAGATTGTGCAACTCATTCTCTTCTATGCATCAGCGTTTTATCTGATCCGTAATATATGTATTTTGTAGGTTCCATCCCCTCGTTGGGCGCTGGTTTGGCCTTTGGTGCTATACTTGGCGTAGGTGCACATTTTAATTCACAAGAGCCCCCACGTCCACTCTTGCAGTTGGGCACAGCGGTTGCTTTGGCCGGCATGATGGGTGCACGTTGGCAACGTTCCGGAAAACTAATGCCTGCTGGCATGATTTGTGTGATATCCGTGGCAGCCATATTGCGAAATTTGGTTGCATACAACCGGTACTTGCCCCTCCCAGGAAGGCAACAGTAAATGCGTATAGCTACCTTTATTGCTGGCATAATAAACTCCATTAATTAAAGGCACGCAATCAAACCTGTATGTATGCATACAAACATATTTATCTGCTTAGTCTTTTTGCACTAAACTATTGCTTATTGGTTTTATATTGGTTGGGGACATTAAACTTAAAATATGTTGTACTTTACTTTAAAGTGGAATTTGTATATTCGCCTTTTACATTGTCTGTCAATAAAGTTTCTTTAATTTTTGAAAGTTATTCATATTTTTATCATGGTCTGGATGTTTGTATCTCTTTTTTTCTGCAAAACTGCATAAGTAGTCGAACCCAATTGATTTCAAGAAAGTAGAAAAATATGGCTTACTAAAAGCTGCTAGTAGAACAAGCAATTCAAGTACAAACTTGAAAATCAGAACCAAATAGGAAATATGGGTATTGACATGATGGGGTTTGTGCTCGCGGGAACTTATACCGCTTATGGAGCTGTACACGCCATGGATAATGGTAATTAAACGTTGGCATTTTCTTATTTTTATTATATTATTCCCTTCTTTTACAGGTTCTTTTATACAATTAGGCGCAAGCGTTGTACTTGGTGGTGTGCTGGGCTATGGCGCCTATCTAAATTCGATAGATCCACCGCGTCCTCTGTTTCAATTATCTACCGAGCTTTTGATGACCGGTATAATGGGTACCCGTTATAGTTTGACGGGCGAAGTTAACGATGGTACATTATTTTTGGCTACAGCTGCTTCAGCTTTATACAACTCGTATACTTATACTAAATATTTAGAGCGACAAATCGATATTAATGATTTCTTGGGAAGGAACAGCCAAACAAAAATTTCTATTGAAATACCAGATTTGCGCGCACACTTGAAACAGTGAAATTTAAAGGAAAAATGCTATTGCTAGCTACTATTTGAACTATTTTAAATGTTCTTTGGCTTGCTATTGAAATGGACTGAAGCGGTTTTGTTTGTAAGAAATTGTGATAAATATTGTGCAATTGTAAACGGGATGGAGTGTTTAGGATATCGGTATTCCAGCAGCTCTTTAGCTTTTTAAAGAATATTGCGTCAACCGTTTGTCCTAGTGCAGAAATCTTCTGATTAAGATTGACTCCGTATAATAATATTTTACCTACCTTTTTAAATAATATGAATGTACATATGTATGTTCGTTGAGAAAAATGCAATACAATAAATCATATTTACATATAAGCAAGTTTTATTTTCAACAAATATTTTGTTTTCACAATCTCTAAATTTATGATTTTCACAATTGTTTCGCATTTAACTACAATAAAGTTTTATTTAAAGTATTTAGCTAAATATATGTATTTATATTAAAAAACATCTTTTTTGCGCTTTTTACATACTTTGCACTTGCATTTATACATCGCAAATTATGTTTAAAATGTTTTTACTTAGTGTATTTTGTTTAAAAATGCAAAACTTTTTATTATTATAAAACATGTATTTTCGATTTTTTTTAAATAATGTCAAATTTTGCGGGATACTATGTACATGCTATGTGCATACATAACTAAGTTAATTTTACAAAATATGAGTTATCAAAATGCGCTCAAAACTATTACATATTTAGCTAATTTACGTAATTTATAAATTTGCTTTCGTGTTCATACTAATGCACTACGGCATTCTACATTTTTAACAAATAAACAAAAAAACAAAATTTATTTAAAAAATACAATTAAATTAAATAAAATTATTCATTAAAATACATATACAAATGAGTATACTAACATATGTATGTATACATGGACATGTTTTTTTATAACTAAAACCTAAAACAATATAAATTCTAACTATGCTCGCTCTTTTATGTTAACGCATGTGTGTATGAGTGTAAAATTTAAATACGAATGCTCACAAGTGTGGTTGTAGTATTTGATCAATGCCTTATCTACGTACGATACACGGTTGAGTTTAAACTTTAATTTAGGCTGCGTATGGACTTGTGCTTGCATAAACGAAAATTTTAAAAAATGTTTTGTAATGTAATATGTACGAGTAAATATTTATGGATGATTTAATGGATTTATGTTTTGGCAGGCTTTGTTTTCACACCTTTTTAAACTGTTTTAACTATGTATGTATGTATATCTTAAGTTTCCATTAAATGTATGTTTGTATGTAATGTATATGCAAAACTTCAAAATGGCGATGAGTTGTATTTTCTATGCTGCTGCTAATTAATTTCCTGATTTCATTCGTCTGTTCGTTCGGCTATTCAATGTTGTTATTTTAGTTCTGTTACCGCTGCTACAATCGCCATTTGCTGCTACACTCGTTTTGCTGTGTTCCATGTTTCTCCTTGGTATGGTTTAAAAATCAGGTCACCAGATTGTTGATAGAGCAAAGCAATTAATTAACATCAAAACGCATGGCCACATTTTCGATTAGTCAGCAACGGAACTAAATTAGATTTTGTTCTTCAAAAAGGAAACGCCTTCCAGTTAACCACTGCACAGCATCAGAAAAAAATGAAACGGACATAATTAGTAAACGATATTAACATAGGGTGGTATGTATGAAAAGAGATCGAAAATTTGTAGAATGTGTAAAATGTGTAATGTGTAGGGTGTAACTAAAAAAATTATAAAAATTACGGAAATAATAAAAAATACGTGGGAAAAAAATGTAAAGTATGTAATAAAAACAGTAAATAGTAACCGTTTAAGTATAGATTAAAATTAATGTGAATTCCATTGTATGTGTTATAAGAAAAGCCAACTAATAACGCCAGAACCTTTTCATTCTGTGGATTTTGTTAAATATTTGCACGAAACTATTTATATATAACCATATCTTTGGTGATGATGTGTAATGTGTATTGGCAGCCACTGCCATGTGAAATTTCGTAGCAGAATGATGTAGATTTTAATTGAAAATTTAATTTTGTAAATTAAAATTCAAATATTTTTATGCGTTATATGTATGTTAATTTGATTGCGGATTTTTTTTTTTGTATTTCTACTAATATTATATGGAAAAAAGGTGTCGATGAATTTTATGTATCCATAATTATAATTATCATCTTGTGTGCTTATTGCTTATACTTCTCCTTAGCGTTGTATTTAAAATACGCGTTTTCCAAATCCCTTTGTTGTGGGCTTACTGTATTCATAGCAGTAAGTAGTATTCCAACTAATCTGGTTAATCTGCGTAAATAAATGCATACTACATGCTAAAATACTCCATACACCTGCTGTTGTTGTACTCGTTGCTGTACCTTTTCATAAGAATTTACTAAAAATGCATATTCAAAATGTCCAATTGAAAATACATATGTATGTATGTATGCAAATATATTTAATGGATGGAGGCATCTTATGTTGTGAAATTTTCCATTTTATGTTATACCAATAAATGTGCTCAAATGTATTGTTTCATTAATTGTATGCACTAAGAATGTATGGGCGTATTTTTGTTTTACTGCTAACTACTGATATTTTTTATTCCCTTGAAATGTTTAACATTCAATGCTTTTATTTTTGTATGGATTAATTTTGAAATGCAATTCATGGCAGAATATTTGGGGACGTGGATGTATGTATGTTGGTGTTGTATTTTATGCTGTTTATTATTGTAGCGTAGCATTGTGACCTTTTGTTGTTGTAATTGATGGAAATAGTGGCAGAGTTGTTGTCGTGAAGGTGTAAATGCATAGGTGAGCGTGTATGTTTAAATTTGTCAATTTAAGTATTCTTTGTACTGTATGCAATTTCTTTTCATTTGGGTGAGGCTGTATTTCAAAACGGATGTTTAGCGAATGTAGAGCGGAATGTATGAAGATGACACAGTAGGCGGAAGAACGTTTGAGAAGTACGAAGATGTGCTAACTTGTGAATTTGCTATATAAATTAAGTTTTAAACAAAGTAAAAGTTGTGAAAAGTGATAACCTACAGTGCTTATGTACATATGTTGTTGGCGTTTGTGTGAACATTGGTAATGCCAACGATTTTGCGTAATTTCGCGTTTGTGCCGCAGCTGCTAGCTGTGTATGTGTAGAAAGTTGTTTGAGAAATTTTGTTGCTGCTGTTTAAAATAACAAGTACCATGATTTTGCATGTGCCTTTATATACATACATATGTGTGTATACATGCATTTTTATTTGAAAAATCGTGAAAAGTGTAGTGTTTATTAAAATTCTTGCATTAGTGCATGCATGCGCCGCCATATTGGCTAGATTCGCACTCGTTATTTGCGCAACTCAGCCACAACAACGAACTGCCAAGATGGCAGCTAAATGCTTAAGCTGTGCATATATTTGTGAAATTTGAATACTTAGGTGTCTTTTTAATTTAATATATGGAATTTCGAGAAGAACGTGATGAAATCAGGTGAGTTTTGAATTGAAGTTTTGTTTTTTTTTTAACCAAATACAAATTCTAAATAAATTTATATACCAACAGCTGATGTTGTTTATGTGGTACTAATGCATTTCTCGTGTCAATATAAAATGAAAATATGCATACGTTAAATGTCCGTGAAGGATTTCAAACATCAGCCAACTCAATCTTGTTTCGATTGGGCATTTTTTTTTTTCAAGACTAATTTAAAATGACATTCAAGCAATAAATGGATTACAAATGAAGATGAGAAAAGATAATAAGTAAATCGCTTTTAGTTATTGTTTAAATATATGTATGACTTCCAATAGGCAGAAAAAAGAGTTTGAAAGAAGAGAGCAATGAATCAATGAGTTTGCAAAAGAACCAAATACGAGTATTTCCATAAAAAATGATAATTTCATGCGAGTGAATTTTCAAATTGAGCGTTTTGCAAGTGTTAAAGTGTGCATGTATGTATGTGCCCTTTATGTGGTTCTCGTTATGGGAATAAGATTTAAAAAACGTATTTTAATAATGTTACGCTCATTAAAAATTTTATTAAAAATATTTTGTTTGTTAAAGATGACAAAATAAAAGGTGGGGCTGTTGTACTACGCAGTCAACTGTAAGAAAATATTAAAACGTATGGAATGCAAAGTCCTTTTACCATATACCAGGCAATCGTTTCGTTTGCATTTTTTGGCGTACTTTGTCTTTCGACTTTGTTAATTAGGCTTTTTTTATTCTATGTATTTCCTAGCTTTAAGCAGCAACCGCATATTTAACCATAGCCGTCAGCAAAAACCAGTACGCTACTTTCTCAAATATCCACCTACAATTAGTGTTGCGCGCGCAAAATTACCATTTCCAAGATTAGAGGGTGCAAATGAACTTCAGCTTGATTTTTTTTTTAGGTTAGCTTGCATTATTTTTTACGTAAGTATAGCAGCAAATGCGCATTAACAGGCCACCCCTATGCAAATTTTTTACTCTTTATTCAGCACCATTGCGACAACGCACTAACTAATATGCATGCATCATTAAGTAACGCTACAAAAATCCATGCTCAATTTGGTTATTTTTTATGCAGGCAAGTAAGTTTATTTAGAGGCTTAACTTCATTTTTAAAGCATATGCGAAGCATTCCGTTAACTCATGTTATATCTATTCCGTTGCATTCCTTGAGCATTATACTTTTTTGTTTTAAATTTTAGTTAGATATTACTAAATTTCTTGAAGGCCGCAAGTACTATTGTGGGTTTAATTAGATATTTTCTTTTCGCTTACCGCGTATTTATAGGTGCGAAACGAAAGTTTGTTGTTGTCTTTGAATGATAGAGTATGAACATTGGATTTTTTGCTTCTTATTTTCCGCAGAAAGTGAAATTGATTTTATGTGCAATTTAGCTGTTTCTTCAGCACACCAGCTGAATGTCAATAACAGCTGACATTACCTGCCGTTAGGTAGAGTAGTGTGTAATGATTGATGGCTTAATGTAACGGTATTTAGACAAGTTGAATACATATACATATGTATGTATGAAGTGGTCGAGAAATAAAATCCTTTTTTCTTCCTTTTAACGCTAAATGTATAAATAAAAGTACAAACTATTTTTTTGCCCATTGCGTTCACTCACACGCTCAAGTGCAAAACGCATGCACAACTTTTTTTTTTTACAGAATACGCGTAATGCTCTCATTTAATTTGTGTGCGCAATAATTGACGACGTATTAATTTTTGTGTTTTAACTTTATGTGCTTTTTGCTGTTGAGGTGGTGATTGTGATTGTTGGTGATTGGGTTGTGAGGATGTTGTAGCTGTTGTTG